GCCTTAAAACCTGAAAATGTGGCAGGAGAATCCCTACGTGGAATGGATAAGAACTTGGAATTCAAGGCTGAGGGAGCCTTATATCTCATGGACCGGATCTGGACACCGAGACACGGTGGTTTCAGAGACTTGGTCATGACCGAGGCGCACAACACTCGATATTCCGTCCACCCAGGTTCAGATAAGATGTATTTGGATCTTAAAAAGCTATACTGGTGGCCTAACATGAAAGCAGAGATTGCTACCTTCGTTAGTAAATGCCTTACTTGCGCCAAGGTTAAGGTCGAATACCAGAAACCCTCAGGATTACTACAACAACCGGAGGTACCTGAATGGAAGTGGGAGCGGATCACAATGGACTTCATAACCAAGTTACCCAAGACAACGGGTGGCCTCGATACCATTTGGGTGATCGTAGACAGGTTAACCAAGTCCGCACACTTCCTACCTATCAAAGAGACAGACAAGATGGAGAAGCTAACAAGAACCTACATTAGGGAGATAGTACGACTGCATGGTGTTCTTATATCTATTATCTCCGATAGAGTACAGCCTACCATCCACAGACCGACGGACAGAGTGAGAGGACTATCCAAACCTTGGAAGATATGTTGCGAGCCTGTGTGATCGACTTTGGGAAGGCATGGGATACTCCTTTACCCCTTGTCGAGTTTTCCTAAAACAACAGTTACCACACGAGCATAAAGGCTGCTCCCTTTGAAGCCCTATATGGCCGAAAGTGCAGATCCCCTCTGTGCTGGGCTGAGGTGGGTGACACCCAGTTAGCTAAAGGACTAGTTCCTGACAGCACTCTCACCGGTCCGGAGATCATTCGGGAAACGACAGAGAAGATTGTTCAGATTCGTGAACGATTGAAAGCCTCTAGAGACCGACAGAAAAGCTACGCAGATAATGAAGGAAACTGTTGGAATTTCAGGTGGGCAACCGTGTTCTATTGAAGGTCTCACCCTGGAAAGGCTTGATAAGCTTCGGAAAGCGTGGAAAGCTAAATCCAAGATACATAGGGCCTTTCGAGATTCTCACTAGAATCGGCCCAGTAGCTTATAAACTCAATCTACCTAGTCAACTCAATAATGTACATCCTACTTTCCACGTATCGAACTTGAAAAAGTGCCTATCCGACGAGACTCTTGTAATCCCACTAGACGAGATCGAAATCAACGAGAGCCTCAACTTCGTGGAAGAACCAGTAGAGATCATGGATCGAGAGATCAAGAAAATGAAACAAAACCATATCCCGATAGTGAAGGTTCGCTGGAATGCCAAGCGAGGACCGGAATTCACTTGGGAGCGCGAGGATCAAATAAAGCTCAAATATCCTCATCTGTTTACTTAGTTATTTGTAACAACTTCTTTGCTTAAAACTCTAATTTCGGGAAGAAATTCTCTCTAACGGGGGGATGATGTGACAACTCGAAATTTTTAATCTTATATAGTAATCAATTCAATCAAGGTTAGACTCATTTTTGCAATCTTTTAGCCCTATTTGGAGTCTATTCGAGTATTCTAAACTTAGTACATCAAAGGAATCAGTGTTAGGATGAATTGGTTGAAGTTCTAGTCATGAAGCAAACCGAAAACCTCCTCAAAAAAGGAGTTTTCGGTCAAGATCTTTGGGTTTTCGGTCAAGGTGACCGAAAACTCCCTTATACATATATATTTCATGATCATTTTGATCATTCTTTCCTTTACAAGTCAAGAAAACTTCCATTCTCTCTCAAGTATCATCGAGTTCTTCATTCCAATCTTCAAAATTGTAAGAATTCCTTTCATCTAATTTGTTGATACAAAGCTTTATGTAGTACAACCCTTTGATTTCATCCATGAAATCATCTCTTTTGGGTTAGATCTTCAAGAACACCAAGAACACACACTAGTGTTTTGGTCCAAAATCAACTCTATTAGCCTCTAAATCGTAAGTATTACTTCCCTATACTTGTTATCTAGTTGAAACTCTTGATTTAGGGCCTTGAAATCATCATTTATCCAAGAACAAAAGGTGTTTGCGGTCTAGTGCATCTCCTTAGACCGAAAACCCTTACGAAGGGTGCAATATGACTTTAAGCCTTTCATAATACTAAGTATTCAGTCTAGAACACTTCCTTGATTGTGGAAAGCCCTTAAAATCACCAAACATCATGAGTTTTCGGCCAACCATTTGGTCCGAAAACCCTTTTGGGCCAAAAACCTCTTTGGACCGAAAACCCTTTGGTCCGAAAACCTCAAGAAACATACTACTTGGACCGAAAACTCCTTTAAGTGGCTATACAACCCTTTTATGCAATCCTAAGTGATTGTAACACTTACATTTAAGGATTTCTTATTCCTTAAAGTGTTATTCTTTACCTGATTAGTTGAGTAAACACTAATTCTATTCATATATGTGTCTTTATATGCTAAATAGGATCCGTGTGTGCTCAAGTCTTCACTTGACACTTAGCATCTTTTTTCCGATCTTACATTCGCATCACTCACTTCAGGTGAGTTCATACCCCTTAATCAACCTTTAAAATGATTTTAAATGCTTTTATGGGGGGATACAAGTTGAAACATTCTAGATATTGCTTTAATCACATGTGATTAACGTCTAGAACAAACAGAAGGATTTTCTATTACTTTCAAATTACTATCAAACTTATGGATTTCAAGCACTTCAAAACCTTTTACTAAACTCTTTTAAATGCTAAAACTGTTTTCAAACTCTTTTAACCTGACATTACTGTCAAACTCATATCTATACAATTATATTTATATAAGTATGGTTTGAAGGACTTAGGACTGATAGCTCACCTTACTTCCTGTTCCTTGTTTGGTTGTGGACTTAGGGTATCCTGTTATTTGTCCGAATATCGTTGAAATCTTAGTTATATATCGTATATATATGTGTGGATATAAAAGCTTTTACTACAGTTCAGTACCTTTGTGTAGCAAAGGCATACAAACAACATTTCTATTTAACTATAATAGGTATAGTTAAGGGACTACTACTCACTACTACTATTACAGTGACACATACAAGAGTCAGTACAGCTATGCATCAATACACGCTATACACTATACAAGAGAACATACTAAACACTATACAAGAGAACACACTATACACTATACAAGAGAACATACTGTACACTATACAAGAGAGCATACTATACACTATATAAGGAAATATACTATATACTCGTACAGAGAAAGCATCACTACACTATTGTCTACTACACAAACATTTGAACACTATAAATAGAATGTGACATACTACTTCTCGATACGACACTTCATTGTGGTATCACTTTATAACCAGAGTCTCCTGGAGGGAGAGCGGGCATTCTCTGTATAGATCTATACGGGACAGACACTCCCACACCCGACTGCTAGCTACAGTCCGAGCCGTTAAGGCCAAGGGGTGACAGAATGTTACCTCACTACATATGACACCGGAGGGTCATCAGTTATTCAGCCGTCGATCGGCATGGTTACATACGAGTTCACATTCAAACCTTTAATTAACCAATTCAGAATTTAGGGAAAAACATACTCTCCGAGGCTTATTGTTCATTTAATACCACCTAGAGTCTGCATTTCATTTCACTAGACTCTCCGAGGCGTATTGCTCATTTAATACCACCTGGAGTCTACATTTTTATTACTTTAGACTCCCCGAGGTGTACTGTACATTTAGTACTACATGGAGTCTGTTTTTCATAACTTTATGACCAGCAGTGTCACTGCTGAGGTAAAACACTATTTTTCCTATGACATTTACTTTGTGATTCTGTCACATACACATTTATGTAAACTATATTTTCATAATGATAGTTTCACTGGGGAAAACTCTTACACTACATAAGGAACAAACATACAAACAGTCGGGTCTTGGTAGAAGACTACATTTCAGTAGAAAATATAGGATTTTCTAGCGAGTTCAACTACTTACAAACATTTACAAACAACTATGAACTTTTACACTACGTTGTTACAAACATATTCATACAAGCAAGGACACTAAACACTTATGAACTCACCAGCGTTATGCTGATAAACTCTTTTCAAAATAACTTGTATTCTCAGGTCATCAGTAGTCAGGTACCGATGAAGCTTTTGAGAAGATGGAGCACATACAAGACTCATCTTTTATTTTTGATCATTCATTTTGGTCTCTTACAAACGATACAGAACACGCTTGTATTAAAATTATTCTATTAATGCAATGGATGTTGTTACTTGTTTACTATTATGCTTTGTTGTGATACTGTACATGACGTCCTCCACCCCAGAACGTTTCCGCCGTTCCGGTTTTGGGGTGTGACAATACCGTTGTGGGGTCGTTTCTTTCTTGTTTCGTCTATCTTATGTAGATACTCTTACATGGACAATTTGTTTATAAAATGGGATGGCTTGGCTATGAATTTTGTACAAAATATTAACTTTGTAGCAAAGTGTTAATTATAGAATGCAGTTTGGTTTGGAAAAAAAAGGAAGGGGATGGAAGAGGAATTGTTGGTGCCGACTCTGATTAAGTCCTTACGATATTTTTAAACTATTAATTAGGCCGATATTGCTAGCATTAGCTAGGCTAATTACATCCACAGTTATCAAATTTTAAATCTGTTTGGGGGGTCGGATGTGAATATCTCCAACTTATAGCATTGAAAACGTGCGAATGATACCACTTTACCACCGCAATGGAGCATTTAATCTAAAGAAAGTGAATTTTGTTGATATGGTAATTTAGTATAATATGTACCTTTTTGAAAGTAAAACGCCCTAATATGAAAATAAAAAGGTAAAGCGTAAGTGTAATGTTGGAGTAGAAAGAAATAAAAGTAGAATGCTATAGTACATACAAATTTATGGAAGTTTATTTCTATTTCTTGCATTTATCCCATTAACTTATTATGTTAAACGTTTAAAGTAGCCATAAAACAATACATACGATTCTGTTAAATTCCATTTCTTTAGTTCTAACATTCAAATAGGAGTTACTGCTAACTTACTGGCTGAAGAGTGTGAGAGGTTAAAATTTGAACATTTCCCTCTTTATCAAGAACATGCTCTCCCTTCTTGTTCATTTTCACCATGTCCTCAACATTACCATGATCTACAGTCACCACAAATATTCCACCCACTTGATCTACAACATCCAAGATCATCTGTTTCACAAAATCAAATTCCTTCATGTACAATCAAAAACATAAAACAAATTAACAATTTTCTAATATTTTTTTTTACCTTAACAACTTCTTTAGCAGCCTTGCATGCTACAACATTAGCCTCAACATCACCGGTATGCCCAACCATGCCACCATTTGGTATGTTCAAACGCACCTAAATGCAACAAATAGCAACCTACTTTTAATTTATTTCTTTTCCATTTTTGAATTTGTAATAGTTTCTTTGTTAGGGGAAACTTAAGAAAACCTAAAAGAATCAAATTCCATTAACAAATTGAAAAGCCAAATATAAATTAAGATCGTTACACATTCCAAGGTCATTAAAGTCAAACAATAAAAAAAATATTCACAATATTAGCTTAAACTGAAGTACGCAATATTTCTAGAAGTAATTACAAAAACTAAAAAAATAAAAACTATAACAAAATGCTAACCTTTATGATCCCAAATAATTTTACTATTATTTTTTTTCTAGTTTTGATTACGTCAAGTAGAAAACTCCAGGTAAAAAAAAATAAAAAAAAAAAACAAAAAAAAAACTATAAGGGTCAAACCTGTGATTAAGTCATTTTAAGAGAATTAAATAAAAGGTATATACAATAACCTCAAATCGAGATAAATAATCACACCTTTCTAACAGAGGACTTCGTGCATATATCCCAAATGAAAAGATGTACTTTAAGCAAAGTTCTCCACTTCCTTGTACAGCCAAAGTGTGGTATATGTAATCTTCATAAAAAACAACATCAATTATTGGATAACCAATTAAATGCAGGAAATCAAAATTAATATTTAACATGGTTGAATTTTCAAAATACAACACCTTAATTTGAAAATAATAATAATGATAGAGGTACAATACTTTACACTTTATTAGAATGAAATGAAAGTAGGATGCTATAACACACAAATGAATGAAAGTGTGTTGCTATTTTGTTTGATTTAGCCCAAAAAATAATGAAGAATAAATTTGTAAAAAGTTAGGACACAATGAGACTTTACTTTTTGCATTTTAAAAAAAGAATCACCAGTATATAGTTTTAACAGATTGAAGTAAAAAAATAAATCAATTACCTGTACCAGTCGACACTTCTCCACTTGCATAGTCACGAAATCTTGCACTTATGTACCTGCGGACCAAACTGATAGACCCAAGATGGATCTATCTAGTAAGCGTTGAAAGAAACACAAAAATATACTGAATAGACTCAAATTTGTATTGATAATCCCAGTTTTCGAGATCTGGGTATCTCCAATGAAGAAGCAAGTTCTTTACAAAATTCTTAGCTAAAAACAAAATAAAGAAAACAAGGCCTACTTATACTCTGGGATTAGACCAGAAGGACAAACAATTACATAAGACCCAAATCGTGTTGCCCCCACCAAAAAGGACCACCTGCAGAGATAATGGCCATGACACAACTAAAAAAAAGAAAAGCAATAAAACAGGGACACTCCCCTCTTCCGGAAGCTAATTGGCTGTAGTTTTGGTACTAGTCACGCCCCTTGGTTTGTGGGACCTCCTCCGGTAAACCAACATGGCTTGGGGCTTATCAACACCGGCCGCCCAAACCTTCACCTTGTCCTCAAGGTGAAAACGTGGGAATTGTTGTGTCATCTTGGTGAAATCCTCCCACGTGGCTTCTGCTTCAGTCAACCCTTCCCATTGGATTAAGACCTTTAATTCCTTGTGGTTTTCTTTCTTGTTTCTGACCCCTTTGAGCTCTAGGGGTTGAACCACCATTTCCAAGTTAGCATCTAGATGAGAAGGCAACTCCGTGGTCTTCATAGGAACTCCAAAAGCAGGACGAAGTTGGGAGATATGAAAGACAGGGTGTATGGCGGCAGTCGCTGGCAAGTCGAGCTTGTAGGCCACCTTACCGACTCTCTTTAAGATGGAGTAAGGTCCATAGTACCTGGCTGCTAACTTTTCAAATCTTCTTTTAGCCAAACTCTGTTGCTTATAAGGTGTGAGCTTGAGATAAACTAGATCTCCCTCCTTGAATTCCTGTTCTGTTCGCTTCTTATCTCCCTGAACTTGCATTTTCTGTTGTGCTCTTAAAAGATTCATTTTTAAATCATCCAATATTGCGTCTTGATCTTCCAAGAGTCGGTCCAAGGAGTCGATGGTTGTTTGTTGACCTTTATATCTGATGATTGGAGGTGGGTCTCTTCCATATACGGCTTTGAAAGGAGTACACTTTGTAGATGTATGGAACGATGTATCATACCAAAACTCTGCCCACACCAACCATTTTGCCCCACTCTTCGGTTTTTCTGAACAAAAACACCTAAGCTAAGTCTCCAAACAACGGTTCACCACCTCCAACTGCCCGTCGGTTTGGGGGTGGTATGCCGTGCTGCGTTTCAAGTCCACCCCGTTCAATCTGAATAGTTCTTGCCAAAATTGACTCAAAAAGATCCTATCCCTGTCACTGATAATTGAAAGAGGTAACCCGTGTAGTCGTATTATTTCCCGCATGAATTTGTCAGCTACTTTGCTGGCGGTGAACGGGTGGCGAAGTGGGATGAAGTGAGCATATTTACTCAACCTGTCCACCACTACCCAAATTGTATCCCATCTATCCGATTTTGGAAGTCCTTCTATGAAATCCATGGTTACTTCATCCCATGTTTGAGCTGGTATGGGGATCGCCTGCAGGAGTCCAGCTGGTGAAGTGGTTAGGTTTTTGTGCTTTTGACAAACTTCGTAATTTTTGATATACTCCATTATAGCGGCCCTCATACCTGTCCAGAACACTTCTTTTAAGGCCCTCTTGTATGTTTTCTTTTCTCCCGAGTGCCCACCTATGGGAGAATCATGGAATTCCTTTATGATATTTGGTATGAGGGTAGATTTGGTGGGAATCACTAATCTGTTTTTATACAGCAGGTTTTCTTGAAAAACAGAAAACCCCTTGTGGCAATTAGGGTCTTCTAGGACCTCTTTCTTGACACGTGATATCATTTCGTCTTGTGCCATTTCTTCTTTTAGTTTGTCCCAAAATTACCACACCCCCACTGTCATGGTGTTGCAAGATGTAACAGGAACCTTTTGTGACAGCGCGTCCGCTACTCTATTGCTAGCCCCCGGACGGTATTGTATGTCAAACGTGAACCCCATCAACTTGGTCACCCACTCTTGATAATCACTCCCGATCACCCGTTGTTCCAGGATGTATTTTAAGCTTAGCTGGTCCGTTCTAACCAAAAATCTTATTCCCATCAAATAAGGCCTCCACTTGAGCACCGCCTTCACTATCGCCATCAATTCTTTTTCATAAATCGACTTGTCCCGCGCTTTAATTCCCAAGGTACTACTATAGTAAGCAATGGGTCGGTTTTCCTGCATCAAGACCGCTCCTAATCCATAACCGGAAGCACCAGTCTCCACAATAAACAGTTTCTTGAAGTCGGGCATAGCTAAAACGGGGACGGTGGTCATGGCGGTTTTAAGTTGCTGGAACGCCCTGTTGGCCGCCTCATTCCACCCATAGCAATCTTTTCTCAATTGATCTGTTAAAGGCGTGGCGATTTCAACGTATCCCTTAACAAATTTTCTGTAGTATCCCGTGAGTCCGAGAAAACCCCTCAATTCTCTTATGTTTCTTGGAGTTGGCCAATCCAACATAGCTTGAACTTTAGAAGCTTCAGCAGCCACTCCCTTGGCGGATATCTCATGGCCCAAATATGAAACCTTTTGTTGCCCAAATGCACATTTCTTCAGATTAAGGAACAAATGGTGTTTTTGTAGTACTTCAAAAGCCATGGTGAGGTGGTTTTGGTGAAGAACTTCGCTGGAACTATAAATTAGGATGTCATCAAAAAACACTAGAACGAATTTTCTTAAATATGAGCGAAAGATGTCGTTCATTAGAGACTGGAAGGTTGCAGGGGAGTTTGTAACACCGAAAGGCATTACTTTGAATTCGTAATGCCCGTCATGTGTGCGGAAGGCAGTCTTAGGAATATCTTGCGTTCGGACCCGAATCTGATGATATCCGGATATTAGATCCAACTTGCTAAAAATGACGGACCCATGCAGTTCATCCAACAGCTCATCAATGACTGGAATGGGGAATTTATCGGGAACGGTGGCCCGATTTAATGCCCGTTAATCAACACAGAACCGCCATGACCCGTCCTTCTTTTTGATCAAAATCACTGGACTAGAATATGGGTTGTTGCTGACTTGAATAACCCCAGTCGTTAGCATTTCCCTGATCAAACGCTCTATCTTGTCCTTTTGGAAGTGGGGGTACCGATAAGGTCGGACACTAATCGGAGGGGTACTGTCTTTTAGGACAATCTGATGTTCTAAATGACGCTTTGGTGGGAGCTCATTGGGTTCCCTAAAAATTCCTTCAAACTTGTTGAGAATTTGAGTTAGAAATTGGGGTACCTCATTAAGCATTTATGTTTCTGTGTTGCTGAAATCCACCATCATTCCTGCCTTCTCCCTCTTTAGTTCCTTTTCCATTGTTTTTAGGGTGACCAATGATTTCCCCAGAGCAGCCTCCCCTTTCAATTTCACCCTCTGATTCCCCACTTCAAATTCAATGGTTTGTTCCTTCCAATTGGTTTGTGTGGTCCCCAAGGTTTCCAACCATTTCATGCCTAATATGATGTCTGCGCTTCCAAATCTTAATGGAAGGAATTCTTCAACAATATCTATTTCTTGGAGTTGAAGAAGGACACCTTTACATACACCCCACCCCGCCTCGCTATCACCAGTGCCCATCTTCACACCGTACGGTTCAGTATCCGTGACCTGAATACCTAATTCTTCGACCACCCTCGAAGCTATAAAGTTGTGAGTCGCTCCAGGGTCGATCAGGGTAACCACGGGTTTGTCCCAAACTCTTCCCGTCAGCTTCATGGTTTTAGGCGAGGTTAATCCAGCCACCGAATTCAGGGAGACTTCCACCGGATTGTTCACCTCTGTGGACTCCAGACAGGCTTCTGGGTCTATCAACGCGTCTGGGGAAGGATCAGTTTCTGTATGGAGTTCTTCTTCCTCCACCAAGAGGACATTGATCTGTGACTTGCATTTGTGATTTTTGTTCCATTTTTCATCGCATTTGTAACAAAGTCCTTTGGCTCTCTTTTCGTTGATTTGCGCTTCTGTCAGGGGTCGAACTTCTCCCAAATTGCATTTCCAAGAACTAGGGTTCTTTACGGTGGTGACGTTGCTGGGGGAATAAGAAGTGACGTTAACTCTAGAGGATAGAGAAGTAGAGTTTCTAATCCCCACAGAGCCCGTTTTGCTACCGCTGTTGGGTTGGTTTTTTTCTTCAATCTGTTGGGCTAGATCCATCGCACGGCCCAACTGTTCAGGAGTCCACATTCGTAATTCTTTTCTGATGTCGTCCTTGAGGCCTTTCTTGAAGATCGCCATGGCTACCCTTTCCGAAATCTCTTCGTCCAGGGACGCCGACAAGTCAATGAAACGGCGTATGTAATCGCTGGTGGTTCCCGTCTGCTCGATTGAAGCCCATTGTTCGAACAAATCCCCACCGTGAATCGACCAAAACTTCTATAAGAACAAGATCTTCATCTCCTCCCATGTTTCAATGGTTTTCTATTTGTTAGACCATCGATACCAGGCTAGCGCGTCACCGTTGAGACTGAGTACCGCCGCCTCCACCTTTTCTTCATTCACGAGTTGGTAAATCGCAAAATATTGTTCAGCTTGTAGTATCCAACCATCTGGGTCGGTGCCATCAAAAGTAGGCATATCAACCTTCCGATGTTTGTATTCAAATCGCCCCCTTCCCTGATTTGTTCCATCGAAGGACCCAAAGATCAAACCCGGTCCTCCTCCGCCTGGACCGTCGGCACCACCATCTCCGCTGCTTCCTTGACCACTGTTCTTGTCTCGGGGATTAAACTCTGGAGTGAGTATACCTGAGTTTGGTGTTTCATTCCCCTTCCCCCGTTCTATCTTCTCCACTTTCCCCAACAGAGCATCCAGCTTTCTCATCATCTCATTTTGCATGATCTTGTTGTCCTCAATCGCCCTTGCTTGCTGTTGGTTAACCAATTTCTGTTGCTGTTGTTCATCCAAGATTTTTCCTAGGTTTTCTTCAACAGTCTCCAACCTCTTATCCGCTGGAACATTCTTCTGTGGAGCAACCATGCTCTGATACCAATTGATAGACCCAAGATGGATCTATCTAGTAAGTGTTGAAAGAAACACAAAAATATACTGAATAGACTCAAATTTGTATTGATAATCCCAGTTTTCGAGATCTGGGTATCTCCAATGAAGAAGCAAGTTCTTTACAAAATTCTTAGCTAAAAACAAAATAAAGAAAACAAGGCCTACTTATACTCTGGGATTAGACCAGAAGGACAAACAATTACATAAGACCCAAATCGTGTTGTCCCCCACCAAAAAGGACCACCTGCAGAGATAATGGCCATGACACAACTAAAAAAAGAAAAGCAATAAAACAGGGACACTCCCCTCTTCCGGAAGCTAATTGGCTGTAGTTTTGGTACTAGTCACGCCCCTTGGTTTGTGGGACCTCCTCCGGTAAACCAACATGGCTTGGGGCTTATTACAAACATGGGCCCCACAGGCCTAAACCTCTGCATCACAACATTCCACACATCAAACATATTCAAGTCTATATAATATTATAATTCAATGTCCCTATAACAATTAATAAGTAATTTAAGATTATAATCACTATATCACCCGAGAACTTTCATTGGAGGAAAATTGGATTCCCATAAGTGGTTCATAACAGCCCCTTTCCATGTTGCACTGATTTTTGTAAGCCATTCAGATTTATGGTCAACTTCTGAGGTAAATCCAGCAGGTCCCACCAAAACCAGATGTTGTACATGCTTAGGATGCTTCATTTTGGTAAAAATGTGAAATCATTAGATTAATGTAATTTAGATTTGAGACATGAAAGTTGTTTCTTCAATTGATCATAATCAAAATTTACCATCAATAAATAGAAAAGAAGAGTTATAATATTGTTGTACCAAGTTTGCCCTTTTCACTATTATTTGTTTCTATCGTGTGGGCAGAATTGCACTTAATTCCTGCAATTACAGATTATGATGTTATTAGATATATTGATAAACAAATATAGATAAACCGGTTTTAGATCGTATTTTGAAAAAAAATTATATACTATCACCATGCCAACATTTTCACTATGTTTAAATAGTTGTTTGAAAAATTTTAAAATAATGCAGTCTATGATATGGTGATACAAAATAGAGTGTACCTCAACGGGGCTACTTCTTTCATCAAGTTGAATTGCTTCAATCTGAGAAAACAAAACCCTGAGTACTTCTGTCTTCATATTTTCTCATGAAAACATAATTTTTTTCAAGAAAAACGAAGTATTTTATCGAAACAGGGTTCACATACCAGGCATTTTCCACTGAATAAAGAAGTGTTTCCATTTGTATTCAGACATCAAGTGAAAGTGGTCCCAATGTGAAAAAAAACTAAAAATTCAATCAGTAGCCAACACTATATAAAGAAAGTAATAAGATTTAACATAAATGATGGCATTGGTACATACCTCTGCCCCAACAGGGAAATTATGAGAATTTTTTGCGGGGATATCCATCGAGCACCTTGCGTGCATTATTTAAACAAAAAAATTGTCACAGAAAATACATACAAGTTGACGTTAACTTCATATTCTTTGCAATTTAAGAGAGTAGAGACCTTATCTACATAGATTGAGTTACCGGTCAAACCAGAAAGATGGGAATTATTTATCTCGAAAAAGAAGATGTCACCTATGAAAAAATAGTACATGGTATCAACTATTAACAATTCAATTATTATAATAACTAATTTTGGGGTAAATCCTCCAATAGGATCGTAGGAACTTGATTTTTTAGATTAACCGTAACATATTTGAGCAACAATCAAGTTCCCTATATTGTTAATTACCTTGTGGAACATTCTATGTCTGGAAGAAACCGTTTGACACAGCTGTCGCCTTCATCCTCCTTCACGTATTCTCCTCTCAAACCTTCCTTTGAATCGTAACCCCAAAACTGAAATCGTAGGGCACACAATTGGAGTTGACTCGAAATAGAAAGAAAAACTGAGTTTTGTTAGTTTAAAAGCTATTGAAGAATTGTCGGTTCGATTTACCTGGCTGGAAGGATACACAGAAATAAAAATCAATGACTTCTATTGCAGGATTTCAAGTCACCAGTTGTAGATATGTGGTGATGATGAGTGACAGTGGTATTCGCTTGAGAAGTCGACGTGTGGCCTCTATTAACAGATGAAGAGAGATAGAGAGCACCAGCAGCAACAACGTCGGTGTGCGTTGCTGCTTCTTCCTATTTCCTTGTCGATGTCGTCCAGTCTCACTATCTCGGGCGTTCTTTTCCAGTGATTCAAAACACACGCAATCCTGAACAACAAAATTAGGCATTCACCTAAAAGTTAAGGAAACGAAGAAGGAACAAAAGGAAGCTAACGATAGATCAAAACAGAGAAAGAAAAGGAAAGCAGTTGTGAATGGCGTATTAGGCGTTTACACATTTGCCAATTTGCCGATTTCCTTGTGGAGGTGCTTCGACTAAATGGCGTACCCTTCAGTTCACCCAAGAAGCAAAAACAAAGCCCTAATCTTGAGCTTAACTTTGAGGTCGAAAATCGGTTTGTTTCGGGAAGGGTTTACTCGCAGGCGTTCCATCTAGGGGGCAAGGGTTTTTCTTGTCGGCGCAATGCAACATAGACCAGCAGAGCTCGTTTTTAGAGGGAGATGGAGGGGAAAAAAGCAAGAAACCTTTAAGTTTCTTAGTTTGAAACCTTGCTAGGTCTATTGGAATCAGTTGCCTCATCTGCATCGTGTCTGTTGGAATGACTTGCCTCATCTGTATGGTCCCGTCTATAGATTGGAGAAGAAAAACAAAAGCAACGATTAACAGAAATTTGAAGCTGATGAGTTTAGACGGAGATGTAGAGTTTTCGAAAAGCGGTGAAATTGGAATATGGTTGGATGAGAAAGCGGGTGGGGGAAGATAAGGCAGAACCACCAGGGGAGACGTGGGAACGACACGTATCAGCCCCATCCTTATCTTTAGACCACTGTTACAAACTTTAGTGCCAAATTGCGAATAATTTAAGGGACCAAATTGCTAATATTACAAACTTTAGTGCCAAAAATCTAAACCACTACAAATATGAAAACCTATGGGCCATTTTTGCCAAAAAATCAGGAAGTTCACTGTTCAATGAAATGGTCATCTTTAATATATATATATATATATATATATATATATATATATATATATATATATATATATATATATATATATATAAGAATTTATTAAAGGTGCAAATGCTGAATTGTAATTGCTCAATAGTTGAACAAAAGACATAATTCTAGAACCGTCCAAATATGGATGGTTTTGGGAGCTTTTCTAAGGTTTCTGGAAGCCTTCTAGTTGCATAAAAGGAAAATATTTGAATTTGAATTAAATCTATTATTTAATATATTCAAATGTTGTTTTGCCTGCAAGTTACCTAAACTATAAATAGGACCCCTTGGATTGCGAATTTCGTTCATGACATTACCTATAAGCATAGGAATAAAATTTACCTCAGATATCCATTTTCCTTCTCATTCTAGGTTTCCTGGTTTTTGGTGTGAGCCATTAGAGACATCATTCTTTTGGTGTTATGCTTTCCAAGACCAACAACTACAAGGGATTGAAGTGATATATTTGCTACAACAACTCATAGGTATGTAACCCTAATTCTTGTATTTTGATTATTTTAAGGTTTCAATTAGGGCTTTTATAAGTTTTGTTGTTCATAGTATATTACATTCAAAGTGTTATGACATAGATCTGTTAGGTTGCATGTGTCCTTAAGTGTCAAGTGAAATTCCGCAAGCACATAGTTTCGTAACCTATAAAACTCATCAGTAGTATCTAAGCCTTGTTGTGTCTTAACATTAATAGTACATTAGTTGAATAAAAAAAAAATTGAAAATTTGTTCTCACAACGTGGCAGTGTCTCTGCCACGACGTGAGCTCAACACAAAATTGGAAATTTGATTTTTTTTTTCTACAAAATTTGATTTGTGTGGTTAAATTTTGGTAATTATCTGATTTGAATTTTGCCGAAATTCAATTTTTTTGCATATCTTAGATAGTTAAAATAAAACCCTATATATTAGGAGATGATCTTGAATAACATAATATTTAATTATAAATAATTAATATTATCCTTATTGTCACAACTAGCAAATTAGCGTTAAGATTTCTATCTTTTATAAGATAACTTCTTCGCATAATCTTGTAACCCTACGTTTAGTATAAATCAAACTTAAATGTTACTTAAGTTGTTCATCCAAAAATTGTGATTCAAGTCGAAGCTTCCTTGTATAAACCCAAAACTCGACCCAATTAGCTAAGTTCACTCAACTTTGGGCCTTAGCCCAAGCTTTCTCGGCCCAAGCCCCTATTTGGGCCAAGACTCTCCTATTGGGCCCTAATGGGCCGATAACCTCTCAACTTGGTTCTTTTGGGCCGAAAACTTGTATTTAACATAGTTTTGGGCCGTAAGACCCTTATTCGGCCTTATTGGGCCGTGAAAATTATTCTTAGAACATAATGGGCCGAATACCTCTATTAGGAAATATTTTGGGCCAAAAACCCTCTAATGGGCCCTTTTGGGCCAAAAGTCTTCACATAGAGTCTCGTTGGGCCAAAGACCATTCCTTGGTCCCTAATGGGCCAAAAATATCGAATGGGCTCTCTCACTAAATCGAAAATATTTATTGGGCCTGATCCATCTCTTTTGGACCTATTAATTGGTCGAAACCTTCCTTGGGCTAAAAGCAAGCCAAAAAACCACCCACTCTCTCCATAAATCGAAGACTTTATTGGGCCCACGGTGTTCTCGGCCACACATAAAAACCGAAAACCCATTAACGGGCCAAATGAGTACTCGAAAACCCTTGAGAAACCAAACCCAATTCCCTTTCCCCCCATAACCGATCAGTTTAAAAAAAAAAGGAAAACAAGAGTTCATAACTTGATGCCACCTCAAATTTACATTTTATGTAAACATGCTTATTGACCAACAAACATCCATGGCCTTCACACCACCTTTTAGAAGTCAAACCCTACTAC